AGCCCTGAAGGAGAAAATCAAGTTGGCGAGAGAAATGAGCCGTCGACGGATCGTCGAGTGGTTCCGCGATGCAATATTAGATCGCCCAAAGTTACAGACATGGAGAATGCTGAAGGCCAAAGCAAAAAGGCGATGGAATTGACCAAAGGGCGGATCGTCGAGTTGATCAGCGAGCCCGACTTACTGCGCTGAATGGTCTTTCGCAACGTATTTTTGGCGACTATAAATACGTTTTTGAACATTTAGTATCATAGTGCTAAATGAAGGGGGAGACAATCCTCCTAAGAAGGGAAGGACAGAGCCTCCACAGGGAGGCAATAGCAAAGGAAAAAGGCCTGATTTTGATACCACAGAGAACAACTCCGACAGGGATAGAGTGTTTGTTGACTCCCAGGCTACACTCTTCGAGCTAGATGATGACCAACCCCTACAGTCTAGGCGAGCGGAGATCCGTGCTAGGCCTCACCCTGACTCCTCGAGATCCCTAGAAGCCTCCTCTCCAGCAGATACTCTGCCAGCTCCGGCACCTCCTGTGGCTCCAGTACCACCAGTGGTTCCTCCTCCCCGGCTATATAACCGTTTGAAAGTTGATGGGTTACGTACAATTCTAGAAGAGAATCTTCTATCCATGGAGGGCCTAGAGGGTAGATACTATAGTGTGAGGGAGGTACTCCAGTGGCACAGATTCCATATCTTCACCAGGCCTCGAGGCCCATATATCCCCACATGGGTTCATGAGTTCTACTTTGCTTACAATGATCTGGTTCCTCATGGGAAGAAGAAAGCTAGTGCCTTCAGACCGGTGAAGTCGGTTATGGTCAAAGGTAAAGAAGTCGGGTGTTGCAGCGATCTCATAAATGTTGTCCTTCAGAGAGCCACAGGGTTCAAGCATGACTATGAGGGCCTGGTGACAGCGCAGTCCATGGATGACCTAAAGGGCTGGCTTGCCCAACTTATTTCTGATACCACCCCGAGGTGGATTGAGGCGGGAGTCCAGATAGAAAAGAAGGATTTGAATGTAGTTGCACGATATTGGTTCGAATTCATCAAAAACTCCATTATGCCTTCGCCGAATGAATCTATCATCTGTCATGCAAAGGCAGCCTGTTTAGGATCGATCTTAGCAAAGAAGCGACTCAACTTGGGGTTTATTATTGAGCAGGAAATGGCCATGAGGACCAAATAGAGACAAACTTCTCTTTCATTCCCGGTGTTGATCACAGAATTGTGCCAGCGTGCTGGAGTTCCTCGGGACGCGACGAGAGATAGTGAGGTTACTCCTTCATCCTCCACTGACATTCGGCGTATAGAGGCCGAGTACACTCAGAAGGAGGCAGATAGGAGGAGAGCAGCTCCGGTGGATACATTTCCGAGGTGGACATTGACTTTATACCTGCAGAGGCATCTTTGCCTACTCTGGTCTCCGGGCCTTCAAGTACATCTGTTTCCACTTCTTCTTCCCAGACTCCTGGTACTTCTACCTCTTTCCAGCCCGCCAGGATTACTCAGGCTATGATCCTGAAGATAGGGCACCTGGCCCATTCGGCTGATGTGAGGGATACCAAATTAGAGGTTGCAGTCTCATGGATGATTGAGAGTGCCATCCTTGTTGTACTGACCCCCCCCCCCTCCGGACTTCTATTGATGATTTGATAGCGAGATTCGCGACTTGTGAGCATTGATAGGAGGAGTCTTCTGAGGTGACGGCTTTGAAAGCCGAGGTTGCAAATCTGAGGAAGGATGTGGACTACTTGAAATCCACTGACTTCACCTTTTTATTTGAGGCAGCCGAGACAGAGGGTGCTCCAGCTACATCTGATATTCCTCATACTACCACCAGAGATGTGCCGATAGGTGATGTGGTAGTTGAAGAGTCAGAGGCAGAGATCGACGAGGAGCAGATTGAGGTGAGAGAGGAGAGCATCTATGGAGACCTGCATGACCTTGAGAAGACGATTGTACAGTTGGTGATTCAGACATCGCTCGAAGAGACGTCTATGGCAGGCCCTAGTGGATCGAGTGTTGTTGATGTGGTTCCGGGCACTGATGCCCCGACAGATGGAGAGACTGTGTAGATAGGACTTTTGTTTACCTCCATCCCTGTCATTTCTATTGATTTTTAGTGTTTGTATATCATTTGAGGACAAATTGTTTTTTGTTTGTGGTGGGGTGAGGTATTCCATACATATCTCTTGTGTTGATGACATTTATGTATATATTGGGTTTTGTGCTATATATTGTGTTTTGACACTGTTTTTATGGTTGTTTGAGCTTGTGACTCCTTATTTTGAATGTAAATGATTTTTGGACCCTTCCAAAAAAAATTGCCACCTCTTGTGTATTTAATTGTGGTTGTTCTTGTGCAAATTTGAGTGTCATTTGTGATCAATACCGATGACTTGAATAGTACTCTCAATCGAACAAATATGAATGTACGGCTACGATGAGGTCAAATGAAGTTACATAGGCAATATGTGAACTATTTGCATCTCGTTGTGACTAGCCGATTACCAAATTGAGTCTCTTGTGATAAACGTTGCACACTAGAGAAAGTGTGGAGTCTTGTTTGACATTGGTGTCAATGCCTTGTGTGATGAGCTTACCGTGAACCTTGTGTGATGACACTTAGAATTTTCCCCGTTGGTCCGATTGACTAAGTGATGCAACTCTTGAAATGATCTTAGGCAACAATTTTAAAGAGTGAAACAATTTGACATCATACCTCTTTTTGTGGCCTACCTTGTGAGTGTGTGAACTTTGCTTGAACACCCTTTGAGCCTTACCTTTTTTCTTGGAAGAAACTTGAGCAAATGAAACCTCTCTTTATCCCTTCACCCCTAATTCTCATGAAATGTGGTTTGTTTGAATAGCCAAATTAGGCCAAAAGCCTAAGTTGGGGGTGTGGTGAAAAGAGAAGGTAAATTAAGAAGTGCAAAGAAGACCCCCTTTGACCCATGGTTTTGAGAAAGATGGAACCCCTCCATACAAGAAAAAGAGAAAAATAAAAGAGACATGAAAAAGAAAAAGAATGCAAAAGTTTGAAATAAAGTTGTGAAAGTGCAAAAGAAATGGGGTATCCGATATTCCATGGAAAGTGAATAATGGGGTGACTTTTGAGCACGAATGAAAATGTTGAAGAAAAGGGAAGAAAGTGTTGTTCATACCACATTTCATGAGGACAACAACCACTGAGCCTAAATGACCATACATTTACACTCAGCCCCGTTACAAGCCTTGAAAAGACCTTTTTGATCTTGAGTGAGCTGAAACAGGTGTTGATTGGAAAATAAGGGCAAACCTATGGGTGGAGTCATGCATGAGTTCATATTTGTGAGTGCGAGAGTTTTTTGTGATTCCGGAACTATAAAGTGTTGAACCATTGTGTGT